GCCGCGGCCATCCCCGCGCCTCGCGGCCTACCCTTCCGCGCTTGCGTGCGTGCCCGCGACCACGCGGGCCAACTTCTGCGCCTCTCCATCCGCGCGGCGGAAACACCCGCGCCTCGCGCCCCTCACCCGTGCACCCCACGCGCGCACCGACCCATCGTGCCCAGGCCCGTGCCCGACCAAGCCGCGACTCACGCCACATGCACCACACGCGAACCACCTTGAGCCGCCACCGAGCTACATCGAGCCACCGGCCGAACCATCGAGCCCTGGCGCACCCGGTGACCGCCGGCGATATTTTCCGGCCGCCGGTGAAATTTTCCGGCGACCGGCGACTTTTCCGGCCAAATTTCCGGCGAACCTCCCGGGCCCCGTTTTCCGGCCGCCGTCGACATTTTCCGGCCGGAAATGGCATTTTAGACCTCCCGGGACCGTTTCGAGCTGTTAAAGCCACCGGAAACCTTCTTTTGCGGCGATTCCACCTCCTTCACCCGTTTTTCATGGATTTTTCACTCTCTTGGAGCTTGGACATGACTCATTGCTCGATTTTTCTTACTCTTGGTGCCGAGATCATTGTTTTACAAGGTAATTCACTTAGACCTTCTCGTGCCATATGTATTTGAATTGGGCGTGATTTTATTGAGTTGGAGGTGATTTACACTAAGTGTGGGGGAGGTGTATCGGGGGTTCGTGAGCTTGTATTGAAGATTTGGAGGAGTGGCATGGTTGCCTTTCGGTCTTGAGGGTCGTGTGGAGATTTTGTTGATTATTTGGGAAATGTGGTGTTCGTGGCGAGTAGTTTTGAATTCTTATTATGTTGTTGGGAGTGCGGTTGTGTTTGTGGTTGTACATTGATTAAAGAAGAGGTGCGAAGGCCCGATTTTTGAGTTTTCACGCATACGTGTGTCTTCGTCGAGTTTGTTGATTCCCGGTTATTATCCCTCCGAGACACATACATATGGCCTTTACTTGGAGCCGACGGACGGGATTCTCTATGCTTTCACATGTCATAGTGCTCGGTTGGCGTATGGTTCGATATGCTTTCATTGTTCAATCGTTCGGGTGACTTTATTTTGCACTCGATGGCTTTCGGATTATTGCTCCTTTCCCACCGGACGAACACCATTAGACACACGGTGGTACACCACCGTGTAGAGTACGCATTTTCTTTTCCTATTTTCTTTTTCTCTTAGTTGCTCTTGTGTGTCTTCGTGTTTCTTTTCTTTTGTGTGTTCGTTTATTATGTTTCGTTTTGTGTATCGCATGAGCTTGCATGATTATGTGATTCTCCTATGCTTTTTGGTCAAGCAATGAGGACATTGCTTTGTTTTAAGTGTGGAGGAGGGATTTCGTGATTATGCATGCTTAGGCGGTATTTCTTTCATTTTCGGTGTTTTATTTTTGCATTTTGGACCGGTTTTGCTTGTGTTTTTTGTGTGTTTGTGTCGATTCCCTTCCATGATGCTTGATGTGAGTTTGAAGGCTCAAAATGATTAAGTGGTGAGATAAGTCGGTCGATTGTCGTCATTGTTAACTTTTGTGCTTTATGAACTTGATGAATTGGATGGTACCATTGAATTGAATGATAATTTGTAAACGTGGGACCCACTTGTGAATTCACGGAATTGTTTTGTCCCTTGTTATTCTCGATTGATTGACTTGAGATAAGTTACCTTATGCTCGATATCATTGTAAACGTGTTATGCTATGTATTTGTAGTGCATCTTGATCGATTGTACGACTATGTGATAAATCTTATGGTGTACGTTTGTGCCTCTCCCTTCGAAAAAAAAAAAAAAAAAAAAAAAAGAATAAAATGTGAGTTCGCGAGGAGGTACGGACTAGGCTCCTCTTATCCCGAAACACCTCGTGGAATGGGATAATGAGCCCGGGAAACCGGTCTAGGGAACTCGAGGAGACCCCTCGAGGTTAAACCTAGATAATCATTGTCTAGGAAACCTCGTTCGGAAAAAGAAGCTCACATAATAAAAAAAAAAAGAAGAGAAGAAAAAAAAAAGAAAAGAAAAAGAGAAAAAGAAGAATGGGAGTTGGCTTATTGGTTTCATGCTTATGATGTTTATATGTTTAGTAGACCATCTATAGCTTTTTGCACGTGTATGTAGAAAGAGGAAGCTTGGATCGAGAAAATCATGTGTAGGATAACTCGGGACGGGTTTTTGTTTTGTATGAATTCATTTCGTGGGGAACATGTTTTCGAATTTGAGTTCGATTCTTTGGTTTACCGGATGATAAGGAGAGTCTCATTTTTGCATGATTGTTAACCTTGGACCATTCGATATTTCTTTTCGAACTACTTATTATTTTGTTTGCTTGAGGACAAGCAAAAAGCTAAGTGTGGGGGAGTTGTTTATTGTGTTTTTGTG